ATATAAAATATGTGAGTTTCTGATTATCAGATAACTAAAAAAGTGATACCGATGGATAAAATCTAACTATATTTGCAATCAGGATTGTAAAATCGAGATGACAATAATGTAAAATACTACAAAAATGTAGGTGGCAATGGTAGAAAATCCTGAAGTCTTCTGACTGAAACTTGGGAATTCAGCCCAATTACAACTTCCCTTCCATGCTGGTTGCTTGTATATTTTGGAACTGGCTTTCCACATGTATTGATCACTTTCCAAGTGCTCCGTGGGCCCCCTGCTACATTAAAGGGTCTCCACATCTTTCTAAGATCTTCTGGCTGGGGCCTCTTCACTGTCCTTGTTGCCAGAAAAGAGATGAACATGCTTTTCCTTTCAGCTACAAAGCTCTCAAACAATTTGCCCGAAGAAAACAAGCTTGCTGAGTCTCTGTCTTCTTCACGTTTCCTGCTCTGCATAATGCCTCTTTTTGCATCTATTTTATGGTTTCTGTTTGTATTCCCTGACTGTCTCATCTTACCTGGATTCATTTTATAATCTGTGATGTCCAAGGGATGTAACGCGGTGATTTTGAACACCTCTATAAATTTTACAGTCAGTCTTATTTATCTGACAACAGTATTCTAATGCTGATGTTGCTATCTGATCAAATCAAGACCCCTTCTCAATCGAGGATAGGCAACTGTGTATTTCCACTTTCTAGTGCTGTTATTTTTTTTCTTTAAAATGCAGAAAGCAATCACAGGAAAAGAAGGATGTGACATTTGTCATAATCATCGCCGTCACTGGGACAGTGTTGTTTTTCTTTGTCACTTTGATGTTGCAATCTGAATGGTGTTTTCAGTGTTTGCCCTCGTTCCAAATTACTTATCACTCATGAAGCCCTCGAAGCCTGGAGCTCAGTCAGCACAGCTGGGACTGATGCATGCACAGCACACACAAAAAAATACACACACACCCACACTGGATGGGGAGATAATAGATATCTAGGGAGGCAAGAAATTCTTCTTCAGCTGTAAAACTAGTTCTTCAAATGAAGACCTCAGATTTTCATGTCTCTGGGGTTTCATTATACTCAGGTTACTTTCAGTCCACAAGAGTCCTTGATGAATTGATTTTCTTCTTTTGCTCCCTCTGGGGTCTAATACCTCTGGTCTTGTGAGCGGGAAAAGAGCAACAGTAATTATTCCAGTGATTTTAAAGTAGTAGTCAAGGTTTGAAAACACACCAGAAAGTGAGAATAATACACATTAACATATTGTAATTGTAACACTGTACATACACTGTGTTTCCAGTATTAGGTATTAAACTCATGTGATCTCATACAAAGTCCTGCAGCAAGTCTTTTCCTGATGATTTTCATTTTGTTCAAACTGTTTTTAATTGGTCTTGATGGAACCGTGTAATCGTTTAGGAGGATGTAGTGAGTGGTACCACTGAACTGCACTGCATTATTCACAACGGTGTTTCTGTTATTTAGCTTCAATAAGATTAAAAACATGTATGCACATGGATTTATTGCTGGGCTAGATGCAGCTAATAACCTGGCAATTAAGTGCATTTTTCTCACTTGGGGTCTCAGGTCCATCCAGATTTAATAATGTCTACACAGATTTGTTACAGCACACATAAATCGCGTGAATTCATCTTCCAAAGTGTGATCAAGAGGAGAACAAATCAGACTTCATCTCTTGTGGGGTTGAATGATTGTCCCTTAAAAATAGAACTACTGTTCTGCTTAAGTCGAATTGTCATTTATGTTAAAAGAGCAGTGTTAGTCTCAAACAAACAACCCTTTTTACGAGATTTTCATGTCAGTGACATATCCAAATCTTTTAAACAAAAGAACTTTGAGGCCAAATTACATGTAATACGTGCAAATGTATGTTTTACTTTCTATAAATTTGCATATTCAGCAACTTCAAGCACATCAGTTTAAACCTAGCTTTAAAAAAAAGTTGGGTTTTTTTTCAACTCTCATCCACAGCAAAAATAACAATACTGTTGATGAATTAAACAAACAATTTTTTAAAAAATAATCAATTTTGTTTACTATTCTGTTAATTTTGAATGAATTGGTGTTAACGGTTTCCATAAAATGAACTGTATGGTTGAGTTGTGCAGAATCTAGCCGCGTGTACCATATTCATGTTAAAAAAAGAAAAATGTTTAAACAGTTTAAATACAATCTTCTTTGTGCACTGCTAAGTCACTTTGAACTCACTTAGACGGGTCATCCGTGACTTGGTGGCTGTTATGAGGTGAGATCGCAAATGGCCTGCGAGAGTTTCATCATGACCCGAGCCAACGCCTCACCTCTGCCTCTCAGCGTTTCTTATAATGAAGCCTCAGCGGATGTCTATAATAAAGGTTATCCAGTGGCAAACGCTCTGCTGCTCTGTCTTCTTTAAACATAATAGATGTGAGTCAGGGCTGTGCAGTGAATCTGGTCCTTTTAGCTCCATCCTCCTTAGCTGAGCATTGAATAGGGATGCGGAAAGAAAACTGACTGTAAAACTGGAAAAGTGCAGTAGTTTGACATGACAGTGTCTTTATCTGCATTAAGGGCTTTCAAATATTCTCTGTATGTTCACACACTTTCAGATACAAATTGGCAAATCTTATCCATTATGCTGAAAAATGGCAATATACATACACATGCAAATAAGAGGGCATTAATGATGTCACCTCAAAGTATCTGAGGCTTCTGTAACATTGCCCACAGGACACACACACACACACACAGAGGCAGCTACGAGCCAACTATATATGACCTGACACAGAAATAGTGGCTGGGCAGCTGAGCAGCTTCTTGGCCTTATGTGCCACTCTGTGCTTTTAGATGCACAACAAAGCAGCATCCTTTTATTTTCTCATTTATTAGAGTTCTGTGACTCCAGAGCCCCGGGAGGAGAGAAGACTTTTAATTTAAGAGCCACCAGTGGAGCACACAGTCCTGCCAGTCATCATCTCTTCGCATCTGTTTGTTTCGGGACGGAATTAAGGTTGAAGGAGTTTTTGCTGCTGTTGGAGTGAGTTTAGAAGGAGACAAATGGAGCCCACATTGGAACCGAAGGATACCAGAGGAAAGAAAGACTCCAAAGAGGTAAATTAAAGTGCAACGAATCTAGCTTTTTGAAAGGAAAAATCCCCTATGTTTAACAACTTTGTAGCAGGCAATTGGTGCATTTTTCATGACTGGAATTTTCTTTGAGGGTCTTGAGGACAGTTCACCTCTTATTCAAGAAACTGTCTCAGTTACCTAACAGTTAGAACTGAAGAAGCCTCTTGGATTACAGGTAAATGTCCTCAAGAACCTAAAAGAGAAATCCAGTCACTTTTAACCAAAACTCAAACTCATAACCTGGATGACTGAGAATCTAAATAGGCATATTCTCATGATTGTAGTTTCCACAATATCACCATATAGAAACCAGAATGAGAAAATGAAATGGGGGCAGATATGTATCTAACTGCAAATCACAAGTGAATTGAATATAATAGAACATTGTCATGTAGCTTTAAATAAACTAGCAAATGGCATAACAGTATATTACATACACTTACTGTATGTGGGACATAAAATGTGTACTGATAAAAAAACAAAACCTAAATGCAAATCATGGTAAATTAAATACTGCTGAGCCACTTAAATAGTCCTGATGGTGACCTGATCTTGTATCTTGTATCGCCGGTCTTATCGCTGGAGTTGTACCCAATCACACAACATACCTTCACATGCCTGATATTCAATCATATGCAAAAACTACCTGTGCACTAATTTGATTGTTTATACCACCATGTTCTACTGTATTGTTTAAACAATCTGTCATTTTGTTTTCCATGTCCTGTGTTGTTGTGTCCTGTCCCATGTGCTGAAAGTTAATAATCATAAATTTATACTTTGAATTATTAAATTATTAAAAAGTGTACAGATACTAAATGATTGCTGTAGAATAGGATATTTCTTACTATCATGCTCTATAAGTTAACCAACTATAGCTTACACTGTGTGTTGCGTTAAATAAAATAGATATGCTACACACATATTTATGTGCAACATAAAATTCTAATCACATAAACTCTTATCTGCACAAGATAGACTAGAATAGGATGGAATAAATCAGGTTTATGAGACTGAAGCTGAACTAATATGTTACTCTGGAAGTTGCACATGCTTGATATTACGCATACTTACTGTATGTGGAACATGAAATGTGTACAAACATACACCTAACTGTAAATGATGGATATACAGTAAATGATAAGCAGAGAAAAGAACAGCTCTGCCAATGTTTTAAGTGTATCAATGGCGCCATCAGGTGGCCGAAGTATATCAATAAACTTGGTCTAATCCCTCCTGCTATAAACGAGCACCATCCTTCTCTTCCAGGCAGTCGATCCTGTCATTGAGCATCCTGAATCGGTGAGATGCAAGGTTGACCGCGAAAACTTGCTTGGCCTCGTGGGTATCGTGGGCACAGTCCTCAACCTGCTGGTGGTGGTGCTGGTGTATGTCTTCACGCCGGTCTGACATGTCTCCGGACACACTGTGTGGACATATTTATGGCCTCAGTGGATGAGCACATTGTCTGGAATTGTTGGTGGCGATTTGCTGGTATTCAGTAGCATTATTTAGTGGTATTCACTCTCATGTAACTGACCTTTGTGATTGTGTTTGTGACTGTGAGTAGGTTTCTTCAAAGCTCAAGTCCTATTCCATGAGGCAGCTACAGTTTGACCAACACTAGACAGTACAGGATGTTTTGTTACTTTTCTGTGAGTCAATCAACTCTGAACACATTTTTACAGATTGTTTCTGCAGTATGCAATGTTTGTATATTTATAATTTCCTTTACTGAAAACTGTCAATAGAATCACCGACCATTACCTTAATTTTCATGCATGTTTCTTGCTCGTTTACATGGTTTTGTACATTGATTTTTGAAAATAAATTTATATTTATACCCTGCCAGTGAAAAAAAAAATCTGCAGAATTGTTTTAGTTTTCTCCACATTGATTTTTATTCAAAGCCTCATTAATGAATCATCATCTTGCTTCTGGGAATTTACAACTCTGTAGTCAGAATCGTTTAAAAAAAAAAAGAGAGAGAGAGAGAGAGAGAGAGCATCCTGGCTGCCAAAACAATGAGAAATGAGAGCAACATTAGGAACTAATGGAAATGTGTGATTTTATATTACTGACTTACCCTTATTTTAACAATTTTAGCACACAAGCAAATAAAAAACAACATAAGAAACTCATACAGGTCTATTTTCTTGACCTATCACAAAGGACCAGAAAAGTACAAAAATCAGTCAAGATTGGTTTATGAAATAATGTCGAGTTACATTAGTTGTATCGGTAGTAAGATAAATAAATGTCAATTTTTGTATAAATGTGTAACTTTGGAAGAGATCAACAAAACATGAGATGACAGAACGTGTATGTTGTTTCTTGACTCCTACTCTTAAACCCCGAACACAAGGACAGGCAGTACCCGACAGGTAAATACATGTGTAGTGTGCAACCTTTAAATATATGTATTTATGCATAGGCATTGTATGTAAACACAGTAGTAGAGCTAGCATGCTATTTAGTGCAGCTTGAGTCCTTCTCACAGATACTCAGTGTAAATATCGTCACGATATGTTTATTTCAAAGTGGATCTTCATTTATTTTGTTAAGGTACAGGAGCAGTATAATTATTTGGATTATTGATGTTAATATCGGGCAGTATTTGACAGCTGGTGATGATGTCAATCTTCTCGGACACAGCCTTCAGGTCGTCCAGGATTAATCTGATGCTGTGAGACGCGTTGATGATGGCGGTCTGTGAGGCATTCAGCTGAGATGTTGCAGTGCGAACCTTCACAAAAACACAAACAGCTGTGTGTTTGACGTTAAAAGCAACAAAGGTATCATCACACTTACAGTAAATACGTGTTTGTTTGTTGTTTTTATCTCTGACATCTACTCATGCAATTCCTGGTTCTATCAAATAATTTTCAGTTGAACCCCCTCATGACTCGCATGTCATCCGCTCTAATCAAATTTAAAACAGGTTTGCAGTCCAGCATCTTTTTCTATATTTTCAACACAGTCTGACTGCTTTTCTTGTGTAGAATAATATGCATGGTGCTTACCTTATTTTTGTTGCTATTCAAGCTAGAGAAAAAGAGCACTAGCTTCTATAGTAGGATTATAGTTTAGAAGGCACTTAGGGGACATATTTATGTATATTTTTCCCAGCAGTGTCTTAATTCAAACATATCAACATACCTCTTTGCTGGCATTGCCATAAACCTGCCGCACCATTAATCCCACGTCAGAATACAGCCGGCTGTTAGACTCCTGCAGCTTCTGTTGTAAAAGGGTGTCACCTGCAAACAGAAATAGAACAGAAAAGTAAGTGGATTGGTCTCCATTTCATTGTTCAGTACCTCTCAACTCAACTTTATTTATAAAGCACTTTAACACAACAAAAGTCAAAACACAGTGCTGAACGCAAAATATAAAAAAATGTAAAACATCTAAAATGCAAAATACAATAAAAGTATAATGAAATTATTCGACAGGACAATAAGAACAGTAAAAACTATTTTAAAAAACCCCAATAAAACCCATTTGATAAAAACCAACAAATTATATTTTAGTTTATTAACTTTTTATTGAATTATAACAATGTGTATGCTAAGATACTCTACATTAAAGCTCTATCAAATTGCAGAGTTGCACATTTTAAACAGCAAATGGAGCTGTCTTCATTCAGTCATACATTCATTCTTTGACAACAAACAATTATTTTCAATTTAGATTTTTTTTTTTAGCTCTAGCTTTCTAGTTGGTCTATAAAATGTCAGAAAAATGGTTAATTAAAAAAATAAATAAATAAAACACCGAACCCAGGATGACATCATTAAAAGTCTTGCTTTGTGCTCAACCCAAAGATATTGAGTTTAATGCCACAGAGGAGGAAAGAAAGCAGAAAATACTCACATTTACAAAGCAAAAATCAGAGAATTTAGACTTTTAATTTGTTTTGTCTTTGACACTAACTATAATCACCGAAGCACTCATAATCAATATTATTATTGGCAGCATTTGTCACCTTGTGGCTTATGTGAGGGGCTTGGCCTGTCCTCCACTATGGACTGTATGTCAGGGTGGTCTCTGACTACAATAAGAGGAGGCAGGTCTCTCTTGAGTATCTGAGCACTCTCTTGTCTCACTGCAGAGCTTCGGGCAGCCTCGTCCGTCTCACCCTCACTGTCCGTTTCAGACGCCTCTCCTGGAACCTGAAAGCATCCATGCACAAATTAAAATGACTGGTTGGAGTCAATGACTAATTTTTAAAAACACACTTTTTTACAACGCTGACGTTAGTTTCTAATCCAGCACTTGATGAGAAAGTCAGGAGAAACTGAAATTATAGCACTGATCGAATGATTCTCAGCTTTTTTCTCACATATTTTAATAATGTAAAGTCATGCAAGGCCTTCTAGGTGGATGCTTAATTCTGTCTGAAAACCAGTTTAAAATTTGTGAAAGCTTCATTCTATTTGCAATTTTTTTTTTTAAACTTGGAATTTCACCACATATATATTAATGAATTTACACCACATAAGGTCCAGGTCAAAAACTACTACTATATATAGACTGGTCAAATCAAGACTAGATTATGCCAGAGAGCCTAAGGATTCATGTAGACACAGTTTTCGATTTGTGTAACCTTTATTCCTATAGCAAAAAAAAAAAAAAAAAAAAAAAAATTTTTACTACTTTATACACACACACACACATACATATATATATATATATATATCAGAACCACATTAGATTAGGTCTACAGAGAATCAGTCGCTAAATTAGGCTAGCTTTTTTTATTCACTGCCAAAGTAGAAGGTACGAATCGGAAACTTCATTATCGTGACTTTTTTGTACATTTCACACACGAGGATGTCTACAAGCGAACCTTTGCTCCGGCAGTGACAGTCTGGGCAGCAGTCAGTGAGGTGATGTAGACTTCATCATCAGAGTCAGTCTCGGACGCCTCGCCCTGCACCACTATCTGGTACCTGTTGGACATGACTGCACAAACACATACACCCAAAGAAAACCAAACTTTAGAAGTCAGTCTGACAACGACTGACTTCTGACTAGATTGTTACTGAATAACAGTGATACTGTCAATCACATGAGTAACGTCCTACTTAAGCTTCACTTAGCTCTAACGTTTGCTCAGGTACAAACTATAACGTAATGTTAAATAAATCGTGAATGTTAAAATATACAGTAGTTTTAGGGAATGAAACAAATGCAAAAAGTGCCAAACCTTTCCTGCAACATCCAAATACAGATCACATGAGTAATCAGGAAGTGGCTTGTTTTTCAAGAACCAATCAGAGCTCAGCCAACATGTCATGTGACTAAAGACGTTTCGGGCCACAATTGGAAGACATCCCAGCCCAGAAACAAGGGTGCGTTTGTACATAATACCAGCATTCACCGAATTTGAATGTGTTTTGTAATGCTTTTCGGGAAGGCTATAAGTGACATGGCGTATTGGTCACAATACAAGGTTCGCTTTTGCCTTGTACACTTTTAAAAAAATAGTTTTAAAACTGGATGTTTGTTTTCTTTCTGTACATGGTCGTTGTGGAGCATATCTCCCGTTAACGCCGCGTATCTCTATGTGACCTTAAAGGAATGTACTGGTGACCGTATCGAGTGCACCCCAGGAGGCAGGGTACTTCGTATATTGCTGACAGGAATTTGACAGGTATATTTAACTGTTCACTCTGTGGAATTTATTTAGATTTAATATGCGTTAAGCATGCATACATGCATTGCTTTTCTTCACCGTCCTCCATATACTGATACAGGAGAAACTGCTTATCACAGCTTGGACGCTGTTTGCTAGCAAACAACATTAGCTATCAGACGCTAACCTTCTAGCTAGCTAACGCTAATTTCGGGGGAGGGTTTACATATTGTTTGATTGTGGTTTTGAAGCACAGCTGACGTAACTCACTCAAACTGCTTCACTTAAGCGTTATGCTGAGCTGTATATCACTTTTATGTGTTTGACAGGAATGGCGGACGAGGCTCTGTTTGAATTCCTCCATATGGAGATAGTGTCTCATGTTTACAAGGAGCAGCAGTCTGGTAAAGGAGAGATGGACAACAAGGTGAGCTCATTAAAGGCCTGAATCAATCAACTCACACATAATATACAGCAAATCCTTGAGTGAGACGATGGGCTGGAGTCAAAACACTATTATTATCCACTGTTATAATGGTAGCTATGTTTATAGTTACAAGTAAAGTATCTGATTATAACTCTATTTCTTTCCTGACTTCAGAGTACACTTCACTGTCACGTTGTAATCATTTCAACAGAACACATCACACTAACATAAAGTGTATTTCTTCCCTTCAGGACAGAGCTGTGTGTGTTTCTGTCCTGGAAGGCATGGGCTTCAGGGTGGGACAAGGACTCATTGAGAGGTAGATGACAAACACATACTGTATGTGCACAAAAAAAGCTGTGTGACATACATTCTCTCGTATTGTGAGTGTCTGAGTTGCTGTTTTCTCTGTCTAGGCTGACCAGAGACTCCCCCAGCTTTAAGGATGAGTTGGACATCATGAAGTTTGTCTGTAAAGACTTCTGGACAAAGGTGTTCAGGAGGCAGGTTGACAACCTCAGAACAAACCATCAGGTAAAATGAAAATGTGAAGGAACAGTATGTGGGAACATCTGATTTCCCAGGCACACCATGCTTTTGGTGAAGGGTGCTTATGCATTTTTTTTTTTTTCTCGTGTCACAGACATTTCTAGCCTTCACAGCAGGATTGTTGACCTTTCTCTGTGATGGATTTGTGAGAAATAAGCCTACATAAACCAAATTAACTGCACAAACACACCTGAGTTCATTTTAACTCAACTACCCAGCTTAGATGGGAAATCACAGACACACATGGTAGATTTGTAATGTCCTTATTCCCTTAGAGCTTTGGACTGAGTTACCTGTTGTAACAAACTAAGCAAACACATCAACTGGTGGGCATGCACTGCTGACAGTGTCAGCGCAATAGTAGGATGAATGCCAGGGATGGTTCCATATTCATCAGTAGTGGAGTATCCAAGAATCCCACTTTGTCTTTGATGAAAATTGCTGTTACTGCTGTAGAATAGTCACTGCAGAGGCAGGTGCTTGTAGTTATCCTCCTCTCTCCATCATGGCTCTACACACAACCAATCCCCCTCTTCTTCACCTTATTATTCTAAGGAAATATAAATATGGATACCAAGCTGCTCTGCAAATTCTGGCTGCCAGGGAAGATGCATTTACATAGCTAGTTTTCAAACTGTAAGTTTACAGTGTTATTTGTAGGAGTCATGAATAGTATTGCTCCCCTAATTTCTGGCCCGCCCAAAGTATCCTGAAAAAAAATACTGAAAAACAGTTTAATGACTTAACTCTATAATTCAGTACTATATAGTTTACAGCCATTTCACATATTTAAACATGTATGTTTAGAAACAAATCTCTAAATTTCCTTTACACAAAAGTAAACAGTGTAATGTGAAATTTTCTTGTGAAAAACAACTCATGTATGCTTTAGCCCTAACAAATGCTTTTGTTTTCGCTTGAAACATTTCTCTGAATTACTTCAAATCCAGCATTATTTTCATCCATGTCTGTTTGCTTATAGTCCTTCTCTTCCCTGTGTTTGCTGGTGTGTTGCATATTTTGTGTGTTACCACCACTTGCTAATGACTAAAACAGCATCAAACTACCAGGAGGAATTTCAGCTGTGCCACCAACATGTGTACACAACCATGTGTGACCTAATGTACATGTATGAGGTACACAAAATCCATACAAAGTCATAGAAAAACCGCTCTGTAGTGCAACTAGAGGTCATAAACTCCACAGGGAACCTCTCCAGAAAATAAAGTACTGCAAATAAATAATTTTGTTCAAGATTTCCAGTTGTTCGTTACTGGGGTTTGTCTTTTACACATGTTTCTATCCCACCACAGGGTACATATGTTCTGCAAGATAACAAATTTGCTCTGCTGACTCAGCTCTCCAGTGGAAAACAGTACCTGGATCAGGCTCCTAAGGTTAGAATGCAGTCTCTCACACACAAATGCAGATTCTTAATGCTGTTACATGGAGATCAAGTAGATGTAGGTGCTTAAGGCTTTATATTTTGGCAGACAGACAAGAAACAATTGGAATTCATCTTATGCTGTAAATGAGGTTTATTTGTCTGTGTGTATGTTTTCTTACAGTACCTTGCTTTTTCGTGTGGCGTGGTGAGAGGAGCTCTATCGAACCTCGGTCTAGAGAGCGTAGTGACAGCTGAGGTCTCCGTCATGCCATCTTGTAAGTACAATCTAAATACCAACCCATGACTCTTGCCAGAAGTTGCCAATCGATAAACGATAGTAGCCAAAACATTTGTACTTAAGTTGTGAGGCGTCAGAATGGTTGTGTGGTCAGTTAAGTTTGTGCATGTTGACATGTTTGGATGCGTTTGTTAAGGGAAAAACAAGTAGTTCACCTCTTGTACTTTTTTTTTGCATTGACAGGTAAGTTTCAGGTGGTCATCCAGAAGTTGTGACCTGATCCTCTTTGCTGCCCTGATGCGGATGAACAGCATCCAAAGACACAGTGGTAGTTCCTGTTCTTCCACTAAGCAGTGCAGCTACAGAGGGAATCAACTCTGATTACCACAACTGGCTAAAGAAGGACTGCCATTATTCTGAAAACCAGGTACCCCTGACAGGGCAAAAAGGGTGAGCAAGGACTTTGATTATACTTGTGGCATCTTAATAGAGGAAAAAGATTTGTTTTATTCCTTGGGCCCATTTGACCTCACTCAGGCTAGCTTTGGAAAGCAAAATCAGTTGTTGGTGGCTGTGAAAACAATAATGTGAATGTAAAGTTATTCATAAGTTATATAATCTGTGTCATGTTTCATCTGCAATTTGACAGGATCGAATGCTTAATATGAAATAACTGAAAATGAAAAAAGTAAAAAAAAAAAAAAAACCTAAGGCAGAACGATCAGCAGAATCTAGGATAAGATATAATTTTGGGGGATATTTCAGGACGGTCAGCTGCTGTACAATCTATTTTAGCATACACAATAGCTAGTGACCCTTTGAAAATCATTACACCTGGCACAGCAGCTTCATTATTCAGCACTTGTTTCTCTGCAGACGCAGAGAGAAGCTACATCCAGCTCCTGGTGCTTTGCTCTGCCTTCGAGCAGATTGCCTGTAGGAGCCGAGTGTTTCATGTATTGCTCAAGGTCATTTCAATTAAATTTAAGGCAAAATGCAAATCTAGAATGAGTCATTAGTTTCAGGAGTTTAGGTTTACCTCATATGTAGATGTGATGCCAATTTCTATAAATTTGAAACAGAAAGACATCTGCTTAGTGCATCACTCTGTTCCTGTGTAGCATTTGGGTTTACAGGCTACTGTTTTTTGCACCACAATGTATATTTTTTTCTGCTTTGTACAGCATTTATATGTAAACATGTCATTTGGATATTCTCCTAGCATACAATAAGCATTTGAAATATTTCACATGGATTTCTGGGTTACATTTCTTAATGACATCTTGCTTTGTAAAGCAAATCTCCTCAAAAACAAGTCTCAAAGGTTGTAAATATATCCTGTTTGCGTTATTTATTTGACTTTCTCAAACATCTCTACGCATTTGTCTAAACAGAATAATAATGGTGAGACAAGAACACCACAAAAACAAGGTCTGATGATTAAGAAAAGACCACAAAATAACCACAGTGATCACAAGGAAAACAAATTCATTGTCGCTTGGTAAAAGCTGTTGCCTCTTAGAGCCACTAGAGGGAGAAATTAAGCCATCATGAGTTTCAGATTTGCTCTTTCACCAGTTTACCACTTTCAGAAGCTATGTTCAGTGTCTCCTTGTCTCTTCTACTTTTGATCTACTTTGAAATCTCCAGTTTAGTTTGATATAGTTTGTATGTGTTGTGTAGAGAAACTTGGTTCTGTAGTTGAACGAATGTGACTGTACAGTGCCATAAAAAAAACACATTGTGTATTTGTGGGATGTTTTCTAAATGAAATAATCTTCAACAACAAAGTAATGTAATTAATTTTTTTAAAGGCTGTTTTCACATTTTTGGCTTAAAAAACAAATAAATCAAGATTCTCCTGTGCCTTTTCATGGCACTGTAAAGAAAATGCTGAAGAGTAAGTGATGTCTTCAGTTGCCCGTAGTTATGATGTTCTCATGCAAATGCATGACAACATATTTCACAATGTGTAGTAGAAACAGCAGTCCCAACATCCCTTCTTAAGTTATAACTATTACTTTCTTGTTTTTGATCCATATCATGAGCTTTGTATTAAGAGGTGCTGCTCCATGCAAGAACACTGCACTTCTGAAATATTCACTATCAAAGCCTTGTCCTCACTAAATTCCAATTTTAATGTTTATAGTAGGCTCACCCCAGATTAGGTAAAACCATCATTAGATTTTGTACAAAGCTTGGCGTCACATTAATATCACCGCAGTAGTTGATGGATTATAGAGCTCACTCTGGTTTTATTTCCTTTTTCTGCTCTAATAAAGTACCTCTGACTATGTTCCAGTATTTCACTGCCATCACTGTAAAAGTTTTCCACAATAAAGGTCTTTACATACAACGTTATTCATTCAGTGTGTCTCTCTGGCTCTGGTTTGGGTCTTAAAAAACTGCCTTGTTGATGCCAATTTCCATAATTACAGTTACTGCTGTGACAACAGTCATTACTGTCATACAGATAGGTTGTACCTGTTTGTATTTTACTATACAAGGAAAAAAAAACCCTCTAGCCTCTGTATTTCATTCAATGTTTGTCGTAATAGCTGTTATCGTAAATGACAACATTGCAGTGAAATCTGTACCTAGAAGGGCAGTCAATAACAGGAAAAACCATGCAGATGGAGCCAACTAATACAAGCCACCTCATACAGGTATCTATGAGCAATGACGTTTAGGTCATAGTGTGCTAAATTTAAGCATCCTGTTTCATTACAACACTGCAGATAACACTGATGCTTAAAAAGGTGACAAAACAGTGGGGGAGATGAAGAAAAGAAAAGAGGTGCTTCACCAATTTCACACACTTTTTTTTTTTCAACTTGTAAAAACATTTGTAAAACGGCATCAGGGTTGTTATAGCATAGGTTTAAAGACCAACAAAAAGCATGCATTAGCGAGGGCAGTGTAGGATTCAATGCTTTTAGAAGCTTTTTAGGGGCTAGAAGTCAATATACCTCAGCACCTTTTGATGATTCTTTTTAAAAACTATTTTCAGAAGTCCTCCAACTTAATGGAAGTGTAACCACATTACTGGAGTTCCCCTTTAATACATTCCTTCATCTATTGTCTTAAATTCTGGGCTGGCCCTTGGAACTGTGTTATGTTCTTACTTCCGTATGGAGGACCTCAAGGCAAGAGGACTTGAATGAGCTGAAGAGTTCATGAAAAGTTAAATAAGACCCCTGGTTATAAGTACACTGCCTCTCTACCCCTGCTGATCTGCACAGTGCATCGTAGGTGACAGCAGGATGTGTGGACCTTCTATACAACTGTAGGAACGCTGTGAAAGGAGAAAACAGTCAGGGAAATTGAGTTAGGCGCCTGCATAAATGTGTAGCACCTGACTATAGCCCACTCTTTTGCCCATTTGTTGCAACCCATTAAACACTTAGCCCAAATCCTCTCTGGAAAGAAGAGGAGAAAAAAAATCAGAAGGAGGGATTAGAGAGAAAGACCAGGAGGGGTTAGAATTGTAGAGATTTGGAGGAGGAGGAGACTGAGAGAGAGTGGGCAAGAGGGAAAATGAGACGGGGAGAATGAAGAGCCTCTACAGGAGGCTGCAAGGAGATGAAAGGTAGAAAAGAGAAGTTTATTAGAGGTTGGGGGGAAGCTGAGGGGGGCGAAGAGGAAGCAGTGCGAGAGAAGTGAAAGATGAAGGAGGTGTGATAGCGAGGAGAGGAAAGGGTGAAGCTGTTGCGTCTGAACCGACATGTCTCAAACGGTAGGAAGTTCGACAATCTGGTGGTTGTTGGGGACAGTGAAACTGAGGGATGGTGGTGAGGCTTCAGCAACAGCTGTTTTGTGCCGCTCCGCTCCCCTTCCTCCAGCTTTACACTGCATCACAATGTCACCAAATACACTCACAAAGAGGAGCAGTGAATGGAGGGAGGGAGGAGAGCAGAGGAGGAGGAGGAGGAGGAGGGAAGTGTTCAAGGGCTAGAGGAAAAGAAAGGAGGTGTTGGGGGTGCACAAGTAAGGCCAGTATTCATTCTCTTAAATTGATGACTTGCTACAATTCAGTAACACTGTCCACATAGACTGGCTCAAGTCTTTTGTAGTGTGAGAAGCTGAGAGAGACAACTGATGTGGGTTAGGTTTCCCGCAAGCAGCTCACTTCAGCTCACTTTGGCTTGTAATAGGCAGAAACAAACTGCATTTTAAAATTTGAAATCTCATGATTGGGCAATAGTCATTAAATTAAAACCTAATAAATTAAGGTCTAAAACAATGCAAGTATATCACATCAATAAATCTTCACAACTGTATAACACTTGTGTTGAAACAGCACACACATATGTAAGCACTCATTTTCTTGATTGGAACAGAAGGACTCTATATTAAATATCAAAGCTACATAGTTATAAGTACTTTATGTTTAAAAAAAATTCATGTTTTGTGTTTGTTATAAAGTAAAAGCGGTGAAGATATGAAGCCAAATGTTGGCTGCAAGAGTGACTACAACAGTCTTCACGCATTATCAGCATTCGAAAGACTGAAGACCTGGTGAATTACTTAGATTTTTGATGCCCACAACAACAACAAAATCCTTAGGTTTAGTAGGCCCACAGGTCAGAGCTCTGTAGAAACTGTAACACTGAGGGACATCCAGAAACAAACTTTAAGACCAATAAAGAAGAACTGGGTTACTGTGCTTTCATGTCTCTTGTTGTCTTTTAGTGCAGCCTAAACTCAGCCAGTGTTTGTTTCTCTCCTGCTCTCTGTGCTCACATATACTGCTCTGTTCCTGTTGTCAGACAACGTGACGAGTATAGTCCATTAAAATAACCACCAGTCACGTCAAAAGCATTTCCAAGATGCCACTCTGCACCAACAAACTACTGCTTTTTTAACTGCAACGTCATCTGACAAACTCCCCATACGACCACCGTCACCTAGAGAGAACGTTATAGAAGTGATAGAAGAGCCTGGTCTGAACAGTTACTCACGTCTATGCCATCTAATGTTTTGGTGTGCACTGTCAATCACAGATGTAGAGACAGTCTTCTTCCTGAAGTCGGTGTCGACAGCAACAACAGACACTTCAAATGCCTAAAATTGAAAGACACATTCTAGGACATGCGAAGCTTTCACTGACATGCTGAAAAGGGCACAATGTGGGCCTTTAATATAGCTAGGCTAGTTAGCTATTAGTCAATGCTATAGCTGACTGCTAGCTAGCCTCTAAAGTGCCAGATAGCACTACTTAGATATAATTTTTAAAAAAAGAAAAAAAAAATGCTTTTCAGTAGTGAAAATATAGTGTCAGAAACATATGTGATAAGTTTAAATGGTAAATACTATGCAATATTATAAATTATACTAATTCAATGACTAAATATTAAGACTTTACGATATTATACACTTACCTAATTACCTGACTAATTTAAATATTAAGATACCTCAGTCAACAAGAATTAAAGATTTACTATAAAAGCTTTGTACTACGCTTCAGTGACTCAAATAAAGGCCTTATCTTCCTCTGAGCATCCTTACAAATCTGCATACAACCTCTATCTGATCTCACAGGATGACGCCCACTTTCATCCTCTCAGACTGTCCTTTATCTCGCAACTTCTTTTTCACGGCTTTTTCTTCTTCCCCTGCTATTACCTTTTCTTTCTTTTTCTTTTTTTTTTTCTTCTTCTTGCCGACTCATTCAACTTCCTCCACTCATGCATAGTAAGAGTGAGATTCTCACACGCACAAACACAAACTTTGTCTCTCGGGGCCATATGTTGACCCGCGGTGGACCTGAATACAGCCATCTGCCTGCCTTTCCTATGTCCCACAGGGCAAGAGTGTGGGAGAATGTCTATAGGACACAATGCATTGTGCGCGCGCACGCACACACACAAACCACACAAGCACACACATGCCTTTAACCCCTTCACAGCCACTAATCACTCCCAGACAGCCAGCCCATCTCATGTTAACAGTGACAAGATAATAGCCCCTGTGTGTGTGTGTGTTTGTTTGTGTGTGTGCATAAAGTAAAGATTCCTGCAGGGTCAGCAATCAGTATGTATCTAAAACCCTCGCCTTTTACTTTTATTAGGTTTGTCTTGAAGAGCAAGAGTGTTTTACATGCTGCGAAGACAAAGTGGTGCCAGTGATCACAGATTTGCACTAAATCAGTCTAGTTTGGCTCAACAAGGACCTGTTGTCTGTAAGTTTAAACTGATATTGAAGAATGTGCTTCTACAACCTTTTGTTGGCCACTACAGTAGATTAAACTACTACCCAGATTAAACTGGTGCACAGAGGTAGAAGGTGGATGTAAAAAAAGAAAAAGAGAGAGACAGGAGAGGATGGAATCAGTGGAGGGCGAAAGGGAAATGAGTCGGTACCCAGGATTGGTGAGATTAAAGCCCAAACAAAAGACTTCTTATCTCTACATGAAATCTTAGTGGCATTACTGCACACGCCCACCCACTCTCACACAGCAACACACCGGCGTCCTGATATTCCTGCAGCACAGTCACTAAGACAGGCATGACTTGACAAAACTCTACTTAAATCAGTTTTGATTTGCAAATTTGCACTTAGAAAATGCAGAACTGCACCTGAACTTTTTAGAATTCGCGACGCATTTCTTATTTCTAACCTTTCAGACCTCACTTTAGTCTGCAGTGGCCGCTTAATGGTTTGCGTTTACTTAATTATTCATACAGCGTCCTCCTGTTTTTATGAAAATACTTAGGAAAAAAAAACTGCTAAAGCCTTGAAGTATAAAAATCTGCCAAGGCCTTCATTGATCAGCATTGCTTGCACATTCCTAATCACCTTGAGACTGCATCTTAGAGGAACTGAGAGTCATTTTCTGCTCCTTAGTGTTATTAAACCTTGAAAGTATGCCAGGAACACCTTTGTACAGTGTAACTTATTGATGAAAATAAGTCGTGTAGTGTCTGAACACCCAAGAAATACTTGATTTCTATGATGTGCTATTTCCCATGGTAGTGTCCAGGGATTTTTTTTTCAAAGCTTAAACTCAAGAATGGACTAAAGTTGGACTGTCACAAAGCTTAAAACAAGACTTTATACCATGAAAAGCTGATATTTCAGATTTTTCATGAAACAATTTTACATATTGTGCATAGATACAGTTAACCTCAACAGTACAGTGTCACTGGGGAATGTGAGCTGAGATGAAAAACATAAATGACAGTTCACTGGTTTCCTGCTTGCTTCCTTCCTCCCTGCACCCTGCATGTAAAAACCTCACGTGTTGCAAATTATACTACAGCCAGCACAATATAGGAAACTTGGCAGAAAGTTGAAGTACATTTAACGATTGTAACTTCTGCATTGCTCAACACAAGGTTGTAAACCAGATGTGTCAAACATGGCAGTGTGGATTTCACCTGTTGATGATTAAGTGCAACCCTGAGAAGGTGATGATGCAAAACAGTCTGTTTAAAAAAAAAAAACGAAAAAAAAAACTTTATTTCCAGTACAAAAAAAGCAAAAGAAACCAAAATATATTAAACTTGATACAAGCATTAACAACTCAAAGTCCTCTATAAATACGTTAAAAATAAATTAAAGAAATTAATTTACTAAAGATTATCACCTTTACCACTAAACAGGCCTTAAACATGTTGATGAAAAGGCAATTTTAAATAGACCAGGAACAGCTTGGTGGCTGTTCTTCTAACCAACTACATCATAAACACACAGAACAGTCAATAAACATTTCTAAAACACTAAAGCATACATACCCCTAAGCCCTACAGTATGCTGGATCTAGCTCAGTAAAGCAACGGACCTGGGAGCACAGTGCACGTGGACGTGACCAGGACGCTGCACATTCATAACAGTACAAAGCTGTAACAGGAAGAATTAATACTGAATGACAGAGAGATGCAGTGAGGTGGGGTGAGAGTCACAAAAAAAAGAAAAAAAACATTCATCAAAAATGTAACAGTGTTCCTGTAGGCAAGGGAGGGGAAAAAAGACCACGACTGGGAATGTTTGTGTATAAGATAATCTAAAGATGCATTTCAGCACCACAAAGGAAAACAGAACTTTCAAGAACAACTCACTTGACTTTAACTTTTACTTCAGAGCCAATCACCTGGCAAATCAAGCTCTGCAGATGGCATTTCAGATTAACAAAAAAATAAAAAATGAGATGGTGACATAATGACATCTCATTTTTGGTGACTTTCAGTGTAGATGGTTCATCAGTGCCTACTGTGCAAAACAAAGCCCAATAAATTCCTCCAATTGCACAGTCAGTGATACAACATCAGCATAGCAAATGCAAAGGAACGATCAAGTCCTTCTCGTTCTCCTGTAGCAGTTTGAATTTGGCTATTTGACATTTTACTGGTTGCAGTTTGTCAACAATCCACAAGAAACAGAAGAACAGCATTTGCAGTGACCTTACCAACGAGATATCTCCACTCACTCTAGCTTACTCTTTAAAAAGAGACGAGAAAAAAAAAAAAAAGACTCTCACCCCTGCTCTCATCTCTCCAAACAAACAAGCAAATCTTGGTTCAACCATGTAACATGACCTGTTAAATAACACTACAGGCACAGAGTTTAAAAACGTAACATTCAGGTTCGCGGGCCAGCGATCTAAACATGACCTCAGATTGTACAGTTATGAGGAAAAAATCAATTTCTCGAGCTCATAAACGATCCTGTGTACAGTTACTGGAAGAACAACAACTCCTAAGCATAGGTCACATTGTGTGCTGTCCCACCATAATGAAAAAAAAACAAACAAAAACAAATCTGAGCTACAAACAGATGTCTTTGGCTTTGTCACATTCTTTAGATCATTTATAAGATGCTGATAAATGAATGGTGTGGCTGGGCTCAGCCAACAGGCCGATCACACTGTGATTACAATATCTTCACAACTGTCACAATTTGCCATCTCAGCATACTATTTTGATAAAGCACTAAGGCTTCCAGCTCATTAACCATCTATCTTGATATGTTCTCCGTTTTGGTGGCAACACACACATCTTATAATACGTATCTCTGTGGCTTGCGCACGTGACATTTTAACCACGGAAGTCTAACGGGAATCTCAGAGTGTTTTGAGTCAGTCACAAAGTTCTTTGCTTCCTCTGACGCCAAACAGATGTGAAGAACGTCTTCAGTGTCAGGAAGCTGTGTAAGAGAGGAGGGTGCATTTATAGGTGTCTAGTGTGTGAGTACTGTGGGTCTTGGAGTGTAAGTATGTGTGTATTGAATGTGCTTTGTTTGAGTGTATGTAAATATGTATGTTTGCGTTCCTACACACTGCGGTCTAAAGGCAGAATCCAGTAGCATCATCAGGAACAGAGAGCTGACTGAAAACCGCTAGACGTTTGCCATTGGCTTCGTTATTGCCTCCGCAGGATTCAGAGCCGCTGACCGAGCTGGCAGAGCTGCTTCCATCCTGGTCCTGGTCGGACAGAGAGGTGTAGGACAGGGATCGGGCACCCAGTGGTCCTGAAGGGACCGCAGTCGCACCCGGGCTCTGCCTCAGGGAAGGGGAGTCGGTTGGAGACAGCGCACATGGAGAAAAGCCAGAGTCAGGGGAAGGCAGGAATGGAGAGCGGGGATCGGCTGCAGTAGCCTGGCTCATAGCGGGCTGGTACTGATGGGCAGGAGAGGCCTCGAAGGCAGAGTCCATCTCCAGGAAGGCATGGGAGAGGAGGTCAGTAACGTCAGCACAGGAAAGAGGAGAGGCCGATGGAGCACGAGTAAAGGAGGGGGTGGCAGAAAGAGCAGGACCAGTGAGGGCAGGCTGAAGGATTTGTTGAGGAGTAGATGGAAACCCAGCGAAGCTGAAGCTCTGTCTCATGAGAGGAGGCCTGTGTGAGCGAGAGGAGGAAGGTGGCTGGTGGGGAATGTTTGAGGAAGAGGGAGAAGACGAGGAGGAGCGAGAGTAGGAGTATTTCTTCTCTTCCTCATTGTTGTGGACAAAGTGACAGCGGATCCCGTAGGGGCAGAAGCCGATGGTGTGAAACGTACGACACGGCTCAGTTTTATACTTAGGATGTCTGTTAAGGTCACGTAGCTCTTCTGCGCCATGGGCAAACTGGCACTTCCCACCATACTTGCACAAGCCGCTCTCAGTGAAAGATCGACACAGTTCAGTTTTATAGCGTGATGAAGAAGACGAGGTGGAAACAGATGAGGAGGAGCTAGTGTTCAGTGCAGTGGGGCTGATGTCACTTTGGGGGCTCTTTAATTCAGCTCCAGGCCAGGATAGCATCGCTCCTGTGGTGCTGCTGGTCTCAACCATGCTGACGGAGCGCTGGGAAAAGAAGCCTGACTTTCCCCTTTGGGTGGAATTACCAAGATGGGAGGACAGAGCGCTTTCTGACTGCTGCCCCCATTGGCTGGAGGTCAGAAATACACGGTCTGAGGGATCAGTGGGCAGGCAGGAGAGGGATGAGAGGGAAAACGAAGCACTTCTACATTGCTCACTGATGTAGCCTGGTGTTCTCATGGCCAGACTGAGGGATGGTGGGAGTCTGTTTGGCTCCCTCAGGTCGAGATTCTGTAAATGCTGTAGAAAGAACAACAGAACATTAGCCTTTACACTTCACATCAAATATCTTATTTAAAAAATACCTGACAAGTTCTTTGTGCACTGACTGTAAATTGCTGACACTGCACTTAGAAACCCGTGAAAAAATGAAAACACGATTGTGCTACTAATTAATAGTCGCAGGGTTGTAATTGTTTGGCATTTCCACAGTGAACACTTCACAGTTACATTATGCAAAACAATGCTTTCTTCCCCATCTTGCAGTTTCCTATTTCAACCAACATGTTTACAGATTATTTTAAGTAGCATTCACAGGTTTTCAAACATATTGCTCACTGCGGATTTTAAAATCCTCTTCTGCTGCAACTGTCAGTGACATTTCTGACTGGAAAATTCTGTTGCTGTCAGATATCCTGAATAAACTCCTGTCATAAAAACTATGTTCATATCATGGGTGATGAGCCTAAAGTGTTTGTATGAGAGTATCCACAAAAACTTTTTACCTTGTGCCAGACATGTAATCTTGTTTTGGTAACATATGCCAATGTTTTTGTAGATACAACAAAATTACATTTTTAGCTCTTTAGACTAATGTGGCTGTCTTTTATGTTTGTTTTTGGAAATGTCCTTCTTGATTTAGTCTATTCCTATAAGCCACGGTTTTATTCTAAAGCAGCATCTACAAGACAAGAAATGAAAGTGTAAGTAAAACAATCAGGCATAAACAGGAAACTTACTTTCTGGTGTAAAAATAAAGGCAGAGTAGTGTACTTTAAGACATATTTCAGTACTGGAAACCTTAACTGTACTGTAAATTACTATAGCAGTGGTTAAAACCCATATTGACATGAGGTATAGTTAAAAAAAAACTAAAAGTGAGAACTAGCTGTCTGCCTGAGTCTGCTTTAATGGGATAATAAGCAGGGCAGGCTACACTGTGTTGCTAGTCAGGACAAGTACAACAGTCAAACACTCGTAATTCGTTTTAAAACAAAAAACAAAAACACACATAACCAAGAAGCCCAGTATTACACAACTTGCCTCTAGTTAATAGCATCCAGTGAGCTAACAGCTCTCAAGCTACAACACGTCTGGACAACTTGAACACACAACTTGTTTCAAGCATGACAAGTTGAGCTTTAGGTGGATGTTTTGATTCAACTTTCTAATGTTAAATACGGTTAATAAGTCACCTAAAGTTACAAACTGTTTGTCAACCGGCGGCGTCGAGCGGCTACGTTAGTGAACCAACGTGAATCACAAACTGAGCTAGTTTACTTTAATGACAGTTTAAAGGGCCCGAGTTGCGATGAACTCCAACAGCAGCCGCCACAACGCTTCACTTTGAGACAAGTTAGCTCAACTTTCACACCGCAAAAACACCCCAGAGCTCGATAAAGCCTCCAATAATGGCGTTTTAAACCGCAAAACACCATTATCTACGAGCCGAAGCATGAAAAACACGGAGGGAAAAGCAGCAAAAGTGTGTGAAGTGCACAGCTAGCAGGCTAACACCCCCGCCCTGCCCCGACCTAGCCAACTTTTGCTCCGCTCAACTTTCTTTGCGCGTTTCGTTTACCTTGCACATCATTTCTTCCAGGTCAGCAAACTGGTTCAGGGGGTAAGATGGCATTTTGCTGAGCTATCAAAACCTTCGTCCGATCCTGTCTGCCCCGGCAGCGATAGACGTGGGCAGTTCGCTGGCATGAGTTGGTCAGAAGTTTCTAGTTGTGTATGCGGTCGGTGCTAAACAAGCCCAAGACCCAGACCACGTGTGGATTTAAAACCTAACAGCGCTGTTAGCCACTCCCCCGCTCCACTCCGCTCCATTCAGCCCGGCTTGTTTTCATCAAAGCCCGCAGCTCCGGAGCTGCATGACGGGCTGCAGGCTCCACAAAACTTCTGTCTCCTTAACTTAAACCCAGACTCAAGAAATAGTTGTCAGAAAATTAAGTCTGATGACATCCTTTTGGGAAAATATAGAGAAACAACGTGTATGTTTCAATTGCATACATGTTTTGTTTTTTTTTTTTTCAATTATTTTTTATACAGTATATCTGTCATATTTATTTTTGCATTGATTTATATGTTTGAATCTATCTATCTAGGCGTTTTTAGTATATAGAAATACTGATTTTTATTTTTGTGCTGATACTCCTTAAATGTTTGCACGATCCCCTTTGCTATCTATCTATCTATCTATCTATCTATCTATCTATCTATCTATCTATCTATCTATCTATCTATCTATCTATCTATCTATCATTTTTATTCATTCATTCATTTAGCTCAGAAACACGTGACACTTTGATTGATTAATTAGTTCAAAGTCCAAAACTAGCTCAAAATCAATTACCTGAACTTGACAAAACTACCTCAAGTTATTAAGTTGAATCAACTAGACTGGTTACAGCGAGACCTTTATGTCAAGTTATGTAATCTCACTTTTTTTTACATTGTAAAGTGGTCTGAATGTAAAAGTTATAAGTTCAGTTAACGAGAAATTAGCAAAATGTATATATTTACATTCGGTACAGCAGAAAAACTGAGTTGATTTGATGTTTTACAGTGTGTTATATGCCTCGCTATAGGGCTTTGTTCAGGCACATGAAAAAAAATATTGGTTAAGAACCTCATATATCAAATATGGTGGATATTAGGATTAAACATACTGAAGAGCCTTTTATATTCATCCTGTCTAGAATTATTTTTGCAGTGTAGCAAAAAAGTTCAAAATTCTAGCGACACAGTGTAACAAACACCTGCAGACATGTTTTTGTCTTTTTGATGGATATGTCATTTTATACTCTTTCTAGTTTCGTCATATGTAAATTGTCACTAATTAACAGGTTGAACTATTGATTAAACCTTCTCCTGATCACTTATACACCGTTGCTCTGATCTGAGTTGCTGCATGATAAGACAACACAGTGCAGAAAGAGCTAATTAGCTTAGCCAACTGTATGCAAACCAATAAAGTTTTGGGATTTTTGTCGACACCTGTATACAGAAGGACGATATTAAGGATTTTCTGAGTTTGCCAAAAAATATGATGATAAGTTCATGTTCTCTCACTGTGTTCCACTAGCATCTGCAGAGAAGAGCAAGCCTTGACATTCGTATCTTGTCTTGTCGGATACCACATGTATCTGACGGCAGATGTTTGTAAAACTCCCTCTTGGATCAAAGTTACAGAATGAATGTCCTTTTTTTTTCCTATTTTACGTCAGGTAATGACTATGCAAAATCAGATGCTCTTTTTTCAGAGGGAATGGAGCAGCTAAGACAAACTAAAGGCTAGAATACACAAGGAGTCGAAGGGATACAAATACAACGGTGTGCAGACAAACTCCACTGAGAAACGGCAGTCACAAGGATGCAATAAAAAACAAAAAAAAACTCAGGCAGAAGACAGGAGGGCTGAACACATGGGTAGGAGAGGCAGCATGGAGACAGCCTAACCCTATGAGACAGACAAGAAGGAGCGAAGTCTTTGATTTCAAAGGTAAAGGCAGATGTGTGAAAAATTCCACTGCAGAGCAGAGCCATGAGAATATCTGACAGTCTCACTCACCTATACACAAACACATCTTTGCAAATGTGGGAGAAAGGTGTATTTTCCCAAGCTCAAACCTTACATCTACCTAAGACCCCAGCCCAACCTCCAATCCTAAATTCGAGCCCTGCATGTAAAACTACACTGGACACTGATAATAAAGGCCTCATTCTCCTGCCATCACTGGTGAGACAGCTGGTTCTCACAAAGACAGAACACACACCCTGCCTCATACAACTTTTCTTTCTTCCTTTTTCTTTTCTTTTTTTTTTTTTTTTTTACCAGGAGTGAAGTTGTCACACCTCTGGGATTGTAAGGAGAATAGTGACAACATGCCCAGGAGCCTGACAAACTGGCAAACAGTCGGCTGCGACTACAGGGATGTGCTTGTTCTGTGCAGGTCAGTGCTGAAATGAGGGATTGTAAGTACATATGGTTAGCACAAAATCACCAAGTGGCTTACGAACATGAAATTTACCTTTTTAAAAAGAACTCTCAATGGGAGACAAATATTCTCAGACGATGTTTGTTTTTCTGTAGCTTTGAGAGTCAATTGTGAAATCGTTGCATGTTGAGAGCAAATTGTTGCGCTTAAATCGCTCGTGTGATAGCTCAGAATCACAGAGCCACAGCTTTAAAAGGTTGAAAAAAAAAAAGTCCAAATACTCAGCCGGTCCTCTGAGAAAAAGCCTGAAAGTTCTTGAAACCAACTTACAGCTGTAAGCCCCTTTAGAAAGATGAGTTCAGCTGGGAACAAAGGCTGCCAGAAAGCTTTGTTTTGGTCCAGCCAACTGGTTACTATTAAGTGTGTGTGTTTTCTGTGCGTATACGTGCTTGTGTGTGCTTCCAACCCTCCCACCCCCCAGTATGATGTAATTGTGTAGGTCCACTCCATACGGCCTGAAGGTTGTGTCAGCCACCAGTGTTTTGACTTGTGTGATTTGTATAAAAAAGCTGAGCTGGTAAAGGGCACTAAAAGGTATTCTGTTCTATCTGGGTATATCTAGGACTAGTGAAATGTAAATATGACATCCGGGCATGAAATCTAACAGTGGATGTTTGTTATGATCCTTTGCTGGCTTGCATTTTATGTGTCTGGCATTGAAACAAATACTTTTACAATGCAAGCTTCATATGTTAAATTGTGTCAGTGTCCAAGTAAGATGAAGTGCATCAAAAACTCAAACTCTTCAACCAGCAGTGCTCCTAGCAGACCGCACACCAAAAAACTGTCATACTTCAGTTTTAGTGCAATATCAACACAACACAATATGTGCATTATGAATATTTTGTACATTTGAAAACTCAGTGCAATATCAGTTTTTCTATATATTCAAGTGCTTGTGCAAAATAAGCGTTTTTCTACTTATGGAACAAATCTGTGCAATGCAGATAAAATCTGTGTCTATTTGTACTTCTCTGTCAGTATTTGTACTCTGTGGATCTGAGTCTGTGTAATACCATTGATAAATTATTTTCACATGCACAATCTGAATATTCACATACAGATAAACCTGTTCTGCTGATATTTCTACTGTATCGCATCATACCATACCTTACCATATAGAATTGTACTATACTGTACTGTATCGCACCGTATCGTATTGTATTGTATTGTACTGCATCATATCATGTTATGTTGTGCTGTATCATATTGTATCGTATTGTGTCGTATTGTATCGTATTGCCCTGTAAAAAGCCTTTCAAATGCATGTTGAGCGACCTTTGTTAAGAAATGGATCACATCTAAACATTGCTGCTTCTCTGTTTGCATAAATTTTACTCTGTGTGAGTAAAAGTTTGCTAAAAAGTTTCGAATGCATCCTCAGAGTCGTCAGAAATGCCTTTGCACATTAAACCATTCACATGAGTATTTTGGAGGCAGTTTTGACTTCAATGGAGACGTGATAAGAAACAAAGCTCAGTATTTGGAAACTGAACCGGGAACACCATGTTAACTACGAGGCCAGCACAATGCCTCACTCTGGACAATCTTCCAGACCACCTCCCCCTATTGTCTGAGGATCCCATTGTGTCTCTGCACTTTGGCTGCTTTCATATATATTCTGAGTTTTAGTGCTTTAAATGCCAAATGTGAACAAGGTCTAATTATGTGGCGACTGACCTTTGGTTGCTAACCGAGGCATGAGAGGTTGCCCTAATTAGTTCATCGTCTTAAGAGGTTGGCTCTATGTGTTTGTTTGTGTGTTTATTTTTATTTTATTTTTTTGTTATACCCCAAGACCACCACTGCAAACAACAAGCCATTAGCAAGACGTCAACAACACGAGTGCCTTGAAGGTAAGCAGTCCTTCTCTGGTAATTCGGTTAAGCAAACAAATGTTATCTGTAAACAAGCTAATTGGTCAGCAAGTCGAGTTTTCTCCTGGAAAGCAAAATCTTTTGGGTGAGCTGGGGATTATGGGAGTAGAGGAGGGGAGGGAGGGGTTTTGAAGGGAAAAGGGAGGGGGGGGAGGAGGAGAAAGGAGGTGAGAGATTTTAAAAAGAGAGTTCTTGCTTTTTGTTGAGTCCAGCTGGGCAAGGAGGCCTTTGGAGCACAATGAGCTCAATGAGCTGCAGAACCAACTAACAAACTAATGACCCGCCCTCTACACACACACACACACACACACACACACACACACACACACACGGTGAATGGGTGGGATAGAAGGGCTTGTTAGAGGAGGACAGAGATGGGGGAGAGGAGAAGGAGGATGAAGGAGGGCAGGATTGGGGGGCTATTCAGGAGAAACAGGGGAAATGAGAGGGAGGCACTGAAGGATTGAAGGTGGAAGAATCACTGGCAAGAAAATGGTTTCATTAGGACTGGATCTGCAACAAGGTTTTATCCAGAGATTTGGAATTAATCAACCAGATGCATAAAGATGTGTCATGGGACGCATTCCTGTGCTTTGTCACATAATCTTCCTGCGGTGAAATAATTAGCCAAGTCATTAGGAAGGCATGTGCTGATTCAACATCTGTTTCATATTAGGAGAGATTTGCAAAGGTGACATGGCACTGCGGGGTTGACTCAGACATCTGACGGCCGTGTATCACTGTTGTACACAGATTCTTTGAAAAAATGGGGTAAAACAACAAAGTGAAGCATGTTTTCTTAGAAGTATTAGATAAAACTTGTGATGATCAAACACTGTAGATTGTTTTTATTATCGGAAAGGCTGATGAGGAATT